AGAGTTTTTTCTCGAATTTCAAGTGATTTTTCGTAAAATGAAAGTGCTTTCGAGTTGTCCCCCATGTGGTTATACACATTACCGATGTTGTTGTATGAATTAGCCAACAAAGGATGATCGGAAGAAAGAGTTTTTTCTCGGATTTCAAGTAGTTGGTTGTAATAGTAAATAGCCTTTTCATAGTCACCTTGGTGTGATTGCACTGATCCCAGCTGATCATAATAAAGCGTTTTTTCACTATCACCAGAGGCCTGTTCTAGTAACACGTTGTAAATTTGTTCAGCCTTATTAAATTGGCCAATAGTAATCAATAAGTTACCCAATATGTGCCAACTGGTGCCACCACGAGCTTCTTGTCGTATTCGATTAGTAAGTATCTGTAATTGCTGATCGTAATCTGATGTTAATTGTAATTGAACTTGATAAAGCTGATCGTTAATATCCATTTGTTGAATGGTGCCTACTCGAAAAACAGCATGCATTGAGAAGAGGAGTTCGTCTTCTTGTTGAAAATAGCTTACGTCGCTAATAGAGGCGAATGGCACTGATTTTACATTGGGATCGACGGACATTATAAATAACATCCCGACCATGTCCGTAATTTGCGATGCGGCAAAGGCATATTCGAGAGAGACTTGTCGTGCTTTGCTGGTGGATAAAAAGTTGTTGAAAGACATTAAACCACCTTTTGTTTTTTGCAGTTTTTCGAAATTTATTTTGGATAGACCTTGTCCTCGGTAGACTATAAATGATTTATCATGATAACTACCAAGTTGTTGTTGATATAGTTTTTGAATTTGTTGATGCAAATCATGAATAAAAAAACCCATATTAATAATGGTATCGCCCTCCATTAAGCGAAGAGCATAGTTGAGCATAGAATAGATAAATGATGGGCAAGTATACCACCAAACAGGTGATTGAGTATGGTATTCTTTCTCAAATTGATCAATATTGATTAGCGATCCAGAATTATTCTGTCGGCAGTACGTAGTAAAGTCTGTGATGGCCTCTCTACTATGTCCCAAATCAAGAAGTATTTCTTTGAATATTTGAGTGTACATGAATGTTGGTTCCAATTGATTTAAATTATCAGTTGAAGCTATTTCATTTACCGTAGCAAAGCTTACAGCAATCAGGTCTTGGTTGTAGTGCTTGATACCCAATCGTAATGGTTGGCATAGATCATTGATGTTGGTATGAATGCTCTTGATTTTGTCCCATTTTTTTGTCCATTCTTCATGTAGGATTTCAATATCACTGAGGATGTAAACATGATCTAGCTGCGGAATATCATTAATGAGTGGCATTATTTGTTGAGCCATACTATCTCTGACAATGAGAAAAGACTTGATGTCTTGAGCATCACTAAGGAAGTCAATGCATTCGTCTCTGTGTTTAAAGACATTGACATTATCAGTGATGATTTGTATTTGTTTCAAAGTGTTTTTGTAATCTTGGTTTGTTTCATCCATGTACTCATCTAACCAAATGAGTAAATAATCTTGTAATATACGTCTTCGTCGTTCAGGACCATTATATATTGCTTCCATTTTGTGTATTATTTGATATTAAGACTGTAATTGTGGGATTTTCGAGTGGATGAATAATGGTGAAGTGAATAAATAGGCTCTCTTATTTATATAAGAATCAGATCTCTTTATCTCAATATTCATATGGTGTCATTGATTACCTTTTTATATTTATTTTGATTTATCATAATAGAATTTTGTCCTTTGTATCATTTCAGTTACATTATAGAGCCAAGGGGAGAGTAAAAAAGAAAAAAAAGAATTTATTGTTTCTAACTTTCTTCATAGATAAGAGACCACATTCTCACTAATAAATAGTACACATATTTGTTTTGTAAAAAGTACATGTCAAATGCCTCGCCACATTTTCTTTTATTTTTGAATCGTATATTGAAATTACAAAAGGATACAAATTAAACAATCGTGTTTTTTTGTGAACGACCAATAAAATCTACTCAATTTTGTACACATGTTATTAATATTAAACTAGTTGTTCGAGAAACTAACAGTTTATGCAATATTATAATTATAATATTAACTACAATCTAAACAAAAATCCATCCCTTAAAAACTGAAACCAGTTCGAAAACCCAAAACAGTAATCCAATACACTTTTTGATTCTCGAAATTATTTACTAAAAACTCCTTAGACTTTCGAACTTTATGTATCCCAGAAAGGTATAGTGAAAAACCTATATTGGTTTGCGAAATTAAGGGAATCTTTTTGAAGATTTTCACTATGAGTTAAGGCTGCGAACACTATGTTTGAATACATATTTGCTATTGAAATATCCTTTTCTAGTTTTTATTTTTCTTGAGGGTGGATGTCGATACTGTTTATCCTTTCTCTACACTCTCCCACATCCTCAAGATGGTTACTGCATTGTGGCACTTGAAGTAGCATCTAATTAAAAATATGATTCGTAATCATCTCCTATTTTAACTTTGTACAAATTAATTCATTTCTTTAGTATTGCTTCAACACATACTGAGTAGATCTATGACTTTAGCATCTCAATCATGATTATGTATTTGATACTTTGATCAGCCACGTCATTACTTTTTCATTCTGCTCTTACAAGTTTTATACAAAAAATATCTTTTTCCACATTATTAATTATAATCATTTAATTTTGATCAATAACAAAAACATTTTTCCTAAATTCTCAATCTTTATTTTGTTATCAAATAGAATCTTTAGGCAAAAGAGCAAGTTGAATAATTTCAATAGATTGAGAAGTATCCATTTCAACAGAACGTACATCAAGACATGATTGAACTAAATCATAAGAAAAAATATTAGTATAACGAATTAGAATGTTTATACTTAATGCTTTTCGAAATTGTTCATATGTTGATTCATTACGAATAGCATTTGCAATATACGCAGTACATTGTTGATTTTTTTGCAAAAGAATTCGAATTGTTTTGACTAAATTTTCAATCACCGACGGATCATAAACAACATCTAAATATTCACAAAATAATTTCAATGAAATAAAAAACAAATAGAACTTATTTATTAACCTGCAGCTAAAATGCAATCAAAACAATTATGATGATTATTCTCTATTGAATATTGATTCCAATCTAATTCTTCAATTTTCATCTTTTCCTAAACTAAGAAATTATTAGAAAATTATTTTTATTCTATATTTATGAAACTACATCAATTTGATATTCAGAAAAATTTAATAAAGCATTTTGTCGTAATAAATTTAAAATCATTGGAGAATAATCAGTAAATGTATATGACAAAATTTTATCTGAATATTTTAATAAAGTTAAACCAAGTAAACCTGATCCAGCACCAAGTTCAATGATACGTCTATGAAAAAAATAACTCGAAATTTGTTAAATAAAAATTCATAATACATACTTATTTTCTAGTAGATGTATTCTTTTCATCAAATAATCACCAAGAGAGATCGCTGCAGGCCAACTTGAAAGACCAGTAAGACCATGACTAAGTAATGCTGTACTTTGTCGATGTATAATGAATTGATTATTATCCTAATTTGGATATAATTAAATATTTGATATATATATATATACAATTTTCCTTACAAGTATATAGATAGTATGACACCATTCTTGTTCACATGATTCTCGACTTGCTAAATCAGCTATTAATTCATACCATCGACTATTTATTTCAACATTTTGATGTTTTTCTAGCTAAATAAAATATTTTATCACGTAATATATAATCAAATAAGCATACCCATTTAATAATTGTCTTAATAAAAGTTTCGCGATATTTAACACGAATAGACCAACAAGCAAATAATTGATTATCAACTGTTTCATGAAGTAAATATTTCTGAAATTCTTCTATAGTATTATTAAATTCTGAATGCCATTTCTAAACATATTAATAAATAAGAGCTAATATAAATATCAATCAACTAACTTCGAGTATATCTGATGTAATTTTGATAGCTCGTCCATAGTATGCTGCTGGTGTATTATGAATAAACATCTAAAAATTTCAATTCAATTTACAACCTTTTTCAAAATCATTTGTCATTTATATGATATAACAGATTTTTTTTGACAGATTCCATTAATACCAAAAACGAGAATAATATCTTCAATAAATGTATCAGATCTTTTCGTGATTTATTCATATATGTAATCAATTTCAACCTTGAAACTATATCTATTGTTATGATTCATTTATTTAACTTCATACTTCAATATAATTTTCTCTCTGTATGTCACAAAACTACATCATTACACACTATTTATATTATTTTTATTCAAAAATATATTCCATTTTTAGTTAGCAACATCTTGTCTTACCAAATTTCTTTCACAATCTAAATAAAATCAAAACATAGTTAACATCAACGATGTTTGTATAACTCTTTTTTTTATCACAAATAATCTGTTAATGTAAGAAAAAAAACACATCATAGAAAATGAAGATAACAATAATTCATACTTTCTTTCTCTCATCTCTCATATAAATAGATGTACAATACTAACAATCAATCATCGGGGATATAAATACATATGCATGCACAAATACAAATACAAAAATCAACGTTTATTTCTTCTGATCAAATTGACCAGTAAGAACTTGTATAACATAATTAATTGTCATTGGATGTCTTAAAATAGCTAGATGTTCAACACCAGGTAATTCTGTAGAATGTATATCTTGCTTTTGTTTACCTTCCCATTTTTTAAATCCAAGTAAACTTCGTATATTAACTGTACCATCACCATTATCAGGTAAAACAACTGGTTGTAAATCTGGAAATGTACGATTATTATATAAGAGTACACCAGGTGTTGGCATTTGTGAACTATAAATTTCATGTAATTCAACTTCAGGTGGTTTTAATTCATCAAGTAAACCTTTATTATTAAGCCAATATTCATATCCAGTTGGATATTTAATATCATTGAAAAAATCTTGATAATCATGAACAGTATAATTTCGTGTTGGTGAAACAACCACTACTTCATCTTTGTCCCAGAAATTAAAACTTGGCATAAGAAATGCAGTTGATGGTGCTGAACGTTGATAAGGACGAACACGAATAGGTGAAACAACATATACCTAAGATGAATTATCGAATATGAACTTTTTCATGCTTTACTTTTATTAATATCTTACATCGATATTATCACCACTAGCCATTAGACGAAGAGTTTTTATAGCACCACCCCATGGTGCAGCTATATTAACCATTGAACGAATATATTTTTCTTTGAAACTAGCTTTTTGACGATGAAGCCAATACAATGCAAATGGTCCTAAGTTAATTTTTTCTCTGTTCTAATAATTATTACTCGAATAAAAAATATGACTAACCTCCCATACTATGAGTTACAAAAATAACTTTTGTTTGATTATTTTGTTCATAAGTATCAATGACAAGTTTAGTTAAATTATCAAAAAAATCTTCTTGTTCATCAAGACCTCGTCGAAAATCATATCTATTCATATAATAAATATATACATAACCAAAATCAATCAATTCTTACGGTGCTCCACGTAAATCAACACCTCGTGTGTAACCAAGTGCAACAAGACTTCTTATAATAGGTGCAAAATAGGATGAATAACCAATACCCGACGAATCAAAAAATTCAATGGATGATGTTTGTCCAAAATCAGGTACTTGTATTTCTACACCCTCTAAATTTGATGTTTTTTTCGTTGTTGAATTATATGTTAAACGCATATTATCGACAAAACAATCGATAACTTCTGGTAATAGAAGACGAACATCAAGCCATAATTCAAACCAATTTGAATGACGTGAACAAAAAAAATGTGGTGGAGGAGATGTACGATTTAATCGAGCCCATATTTGTGAACCACCATTGCCCGGAATAAATATAGCTGGATAACGTATACTATCACCATTGATATTATTAATAGTACAAATGAAAGACAAAAGAAGAAGATGCCAGATCATACCAAATAGAAAATATATACAAGGAAAAAAAATGAAATCTAAAAATGTAAAATAATGTATCGTTATTTATCATGTGATATAATTACTGCACTTACAAAATAGGTCAAAAAAACATACCTATTTAGAGTCTCTACACATTAGTTTGCACTTATATAATCAATCCGTATAATTTGACGAAGAAGAACTGCTAAAGTTTGATTTTTAAAGATCAGATGATCGATAACCAATGAAATGTTATCTATAGTTATCTATCAGTTAAAATTTTTTTTATAGAAATATTGTTTACTTAGTCTGTATATACTATTTTAAAACTATTTATATTATTTATTTCATACTTTCAAATCTTTCATCTATCAGCGGCATCTGACGAGCACATATTTTATATATTATCAGATCACATTAGAATTCTGTCTGTTTAATTCAAAAACAAGCATATTTCTATTATCAACGAATAATGTGTTATCAATAAGATATGCATAAGATTTTTATCAGTTGTATCATATTCTGTTTCAACTGTTTTTCACTTAACAACGAAGATGTGGTTATGAAAAGTGCCCATGACATTTAGTATGTGTTAATTATCATGTTACTATAAATACTAGTCTTATAGATGAAATAGAAATAATGAAAAAAACACAGACAAGACTTTTTTTTGATATTCTGCCATGTATAAAGAATAACATTTCTATAGATCAGAAAACAAGATTTGATAATTGAAAGGAAATCTTATGTAAATCTTTCGGTATGCATCATTACCAGCTATCTATCTTTTGTTCAATTTAATAAATACAATAAGATTCTTATAATTCTAAATGTAATTTCTCTATTGATGATCAATGATTGCAGACAATACGTATTCGAAACTAAAAGGTAGTATTATTGTTAACAACTTGAACAATTGCATAAGACATGTCATTAAAAGATTGATCTTTTTCGATAGGCATGCCTAAAACAAGGTCAACACATTATCATGAAAACTAAGAATAATCGAAAATTATTTATTAAAGAAAAATACAGAAGAAGTAATCAACCAAACGATTCTACAATTAATTCTGAAGTATTAAATTATATTTACAATCAATAGTCTCTAGTTGAAAGTATCGTTAGTAATATGAGCTATGAAATAACTATATTCCTTATGCTATTTATTCACATGTGAGCGTACGAAAATATTTAATTTCTATTGGTAGAAGCTGTCAGTAACATATAATCAAACAACAATGTTAATGTAAAAATCCGACATATACACGACATTTCATTGCTTTTTTTCGGTAAAATACTTTACTAGCAATACATAATAACATATCAGTTTTTTTCACGTATCCACAAGTGATAGAACAACTAACTTCTGACCTTCACTGGCATTTTCCATCGTGCAATGTAAACATCTGTCACATATTCCATATGACTTTTATAAGTAGAAATAACTCATTAAGATATTGATTTATCAATATCGACTCGGCATAATTTATAAAACAAAAAAAAAAAAAGTACAATAATTAGATGCATTCTTATATTATTCTTTCATTAAAACTCTCTGCAATATATTATTCTATTATGACTTGTCCGAATAGAGATATGAGCGCATAGCTATAACAAGCGTCAATTTTTAAAAATATATTATACATTATTTAACGGGCAAAATAAAGGACATATTCAAATTTCTACAAACATCGAAAAAAAAAGAAAACAATTTTTTATAATTAATTAAACAGCAGTCGATGTCAGAAAATCGATTTCATCTATTAGCTGTTGATTCTAAAGTAAAAAAGATTTTATTTTCTATATCTTTTTTTTTCGTAATATATACATACATTTAAACAATAATTTTCAAAATCATCTAAATTAATAGTTCCCGAATGATCAAGATCAAGTTTTTCAAAAAGAAGATTTGTATGTTTTTCAACTGTTTCATCAGTAATTGGTTGATGAATAAATATATTTGATCCAAGTAGATCATATATTGAGCGAAGAATTGTTTCAAATGTCTTATAGAAATATATTTATACGTAATATATACAATAAAATTATCATACTTGTTTTGTTAATTTACCATCATCATAAATATCATAGAGACGAAAGATCCAATGAAGTTTTTCTTTAATACTACCACGAACTAAAATTGATAATGTTTGAATATAATCCTACAAAAAAGAAAAGAGCAGAATATTATCTACATCATCATATTATATTTCATGATTTAATTATAAACGATAGAGATGTCTTTTTTATAATTCTTCTAACTAATTAATATACTTTCAATGTTTTTTGTAGTTCAACAACGATCATAAGATTGATGATCAATAAAAGAAATGAAAAAAAGATCGTCGTGCTACTGCCTTTACTCTTTCAAATGCTAATATTCTTGCATTTATAAGGGTAAATTACTTCAAATGTAAAATACATCCGCTTCCGTCTATCCAAAACACGAAATAAAAAGCTTGTATAATTTTGACAATTTCCATGCGGAAAAAAATGTGAATAAATTGCTTGAAATTCTGGTTCTGTTACTGCACCACTAGGACATTCCTATTAAATTAAATTCAATAAGAAAATTATAAAATTTAAAAAGAAAAATTATTTTTTCATACCTGTTTAAAACCTTTATAAAGTAATCGTATTTCAGTTTTACTAAATTTCGTAATTCGTACAATTTCTTCTATACTTTTTGGTACTTTTCGAATTTGTTTCGGTAATAATGCTGGATAATCATCATTATCTATTATAGATAAATATTAATATCATTTTCAGATTTGTCAACTTTTCATCTAAGTTATTTTATAATGACATACGACATAGAAATAAAGATCAAGAAGTAAGAAACTTGTTTCGACATGTATCTCATTATTCTTATTCTCTACGGTATCCAATAGATAAACAACAGATGCTCTTTATTTTTGCTACAAAGTCAAACCTATAGTTTGTCAACAGATATCATTATCATTATTTTTCAATACAATCCATATGGAACTTTCATTCTTATCTATTATTTACTCGATATGAGGGACACTTATTTAATGATATCACTAATACGTCAATTATTCTATCAAAAACTCAGCATGTTGAATAATTAGGTGACAGTTCGTTCAATCACTTACGCTCAAATGCTTCCATTAGTATAGTTTATTTTCGATTTATAAATCGTTGTTAGTTCGTTTTTTTGATTGAAGACGATGATAATGATGACGGTTGTTTTGACATTTTGATGTGTATATAAAAAAATTGATAATATCTCCGGAAAAAAAAGAAGGCAGTTGGAATAAATTTTTTTTCTTTTGTTTGTAGTAATAACCTGTTTTCGTCTATGTTGATGTGTATATGCACTTAAATAGATTTCTTTTCTACTTAATGACGACGCCGGGTTTTTTTTATTGTTTGATTTATCTTCTTCTGATACCCCTAAAAAGCAATATACAACAAGCAATAGAGAAGAGAGAGGAGGAAGAGAGAATCGTAGAGAACAGGAAAAAAAACCGGCTCTTTGTCTCTCGTCATATTAGCAAAGTCGGCATGAAGGGCGAGAGGAGCATACTAAATATATATTTATATATATATGTGAGACTCTCAAACAAAGAGTAGAAAACAACAAAGAATAGAAGCGAAAGTCAAGTCTACTCTTGTTACATATATTGTCTCACACGTTCATTTCCGTTGTCATTAATCAAATATGATTCTTTAGACTTTCACCTTTTCTCTTCTAATATATAGTTTATGTTTGATAAAAGATATTCATTTACAGACCGGAAAATGAGCATATGTTTCATTGTCATATGATATGCTTGTATGATTTTCCTTTTTGTTGTAAAATACAAGAAAAAAGTAATTGAATTGCCTAACAGAACAAGTCATATAATTCATATCAGATGAAATTAATGATCATCCTTTTTTTTTCTTCTTCTTCTTATCTGTTCGTAGAAAAAAAATACGAATAACTAGTAGGGAAAAAAGAAGAAGAATGTCTTAGAAAATGAGAAGTGGTTCCTTTCTTTATCACGGAAACAAAATAGGCACGTCGTTTTTTTATTGAGTAGGCTACAGAAGACACCTATATTTTTAGATCATGAAATTTATTATTAATAGAATGAAAGAAGAATTGCATGAGATAGTAGTTAAAGTTAGATAATATAAGACGAGCAAAACTCTTATAAAAAAGAACATATGTCAACATCAATCTTAACCTTTTGATATCCTCAAGTTAAACTAAAATTTCTATGATAAATATTCGATTCAATTTTCAAAATATGATTATTAGTTTACTAAATGCTCCTTGCGTGACGGAGTCAGTATTTTTTTAATAAAATGAATTTACTTATTCTCATAAAAATACGCCTGCACGATAGTCTGTGTTGGGAAACAAAAACTTTTTCTATGTCACCTTGTTTTATAAGAAAGTACATCAAGACATTTTTTCTCTCATCTATCTATAGCAAAACAATTTACAAAATCTCTTTTTTATTTAAAATTGTACATCGTTATGGTAGTAGATACTTAAGACTTCTTTGTCTAAGATAATCTTAATACCATCTTATGAATTGATCAGCTTTTCAAACAAGCACATCATTAATTACTCATGAATACTAACTCTATACTAAAATAAATGTATCTGGTTAATATAGATTTATTTATTAAGAATTAAAATTAAAAGAAAATTAAAGTCACACTTGAGGGTTCTCCTTGAAAAGATATTCAGCCTAAAACAAAACAAAAAAATGAAATGAAGACTTTTTTTAAGAATATAATACTAACCACAAAATCAATAGGATCATCAGGTCGTACTTGACAACATTCTAGAAAAAAATAGAATTTAATAAAAAAAAACAATTCAAAGTTTAATCTTTACCAATCAATGCTTTTGTTAATGTTGGCATAACATGTGCCATAAGATAATTTCTTAATGGTGTTGATTGTGCATCAAGCATTTGAAATTCTTCACGTTTTATTTGTTCTAATTTCGTTGTCCAATCTTTTTGTTTCTTTGCTCGATCATTAGCTGCTTCTTCTTCATTTCGTTCACGTTCTTCGCGATCTTCACGTTCACGTTTTTCTTTTTCAGCTATTTCATTACGTTTCGCTATTTCTTGTTCTTCAGCTGTTGGACCATAATTACGTGGTTCTTTAACACGTTCCATGATTTTTTTAACGATATTTCGATGATTTACACTTACATCATCATCAATTTCTATTAACGAAAAATTCATATATGATTATCTTTCGAAGAGATTTAAAACGAACAATATAGATCGTAAGAATAGTTCCGATTTAAATTATTCAAGATCATGCTTAAAAATAATACTAAGCAGGATAGAATCTTTTAGGTTTCAATTCATTTTTTATAGGAATTTCCTGTAATAGTATTAGGTATTTGTTTATCCTTACTCATTGTTTCGCCTGGTCGATCAACTTCTTCGAAGAATTTTGCGGGATGTGAATCATCACCAAGATCATTATAAGTTTTCAATCGACGTTTAAATTCTAATTCAGTATTATGTGTACCAGCAACGACTTTTTCAGGTAAGTGCATAATACGTTGACGAAGAAAATCATTACTTGCTTCGAGTATAACAACATGCTCTAAAAAAATAAATATTTAATTATTAAAACAAAAAATAGCACAATTATTATTAAACAAACCTGGAATAATTTGTTCATTTACTGGTGGTTTTTTATCTTCTGCACCTTCTTCTTCTAGAAAATAAAGAAAAAATAGATTTTATTGAAAATTTTTTCGATATTATACCTTCTTCCCCAGCAGCTCCAAATAGATTTTGTGCTTGATCAGATGTTTTTGGATAACCATCAAGTACATAACCTTGATTTTGACATGGTGGTGACATAAGTTTGATTTTGAAAATTTGTGTTAAAAGATCATCATCCAAACGAGCTTAAAAAAACAAAAAAGATAAAATAAAATATCAATTCTATTTCAATATAAATACCATCTTTATTATCACGTCGTGCTTCTTCAAGTCTTTCTAAAACACTTCGTGCTTCATCAACACGATCTGCTAATGTTTCATCTGTATCTTCTTCATCGATTTCTTCTTCATTTTGTTCACTTTCATCACTACGCTTGACTAATTGTTCCTAGAAAAGAAGAAATATTCGTTTAATTCTAAATATTCTTTTTCTCTTATTTACTAGTTCATTTTTTGTTTCTTCAATAACATCTTTTATCGAAAGATAATGTAATTTATATTCCTGTGCTAATTGTTTTGCAATTGTTGTCTTTCCAGCTGCTGGTGGACCAAGAACACATATTTTAATTGGCTAAAAATGAATTCAAATTTAATTAACTTATTCTTCTTAATCACAAAATTTACTCTTAAATTTCGTTGTGTACGATATTCTTCCACAATTTTTTCAATATTTTCTGGTATACCATTTTCACAATGCCATTTAATATTCATTTGTTCACGAATAAACATTGGTTCGAACTGCATATTTGAAAGTAACATGTCATAATCAGCTTGCTAAAAACAAAACGAATCAGAAAAGTTTAAAATATATTCTTTTCATTTACCGTAATATCACGATTGAGCATTGCATCTTCTTCATCAACAGTTTTTACTCTGCCCATACCAAGTGCTTGACTAACTTTACGTGTAATACGTATTAATGTATCTTTACTTGTATCAGTAGCAACAATATAACGAATTTTGAATTGTTGATCGGCAAGATTTTGTAAAACACTAAATATAGAAGACGAAAAAAACCCATAATTTATATATTTAAATTGTTTTATTCATACGCAGCAAGATCGATAATATGAATTGTTGGTAAAGAATTTTGACCTTTACCAAATACTGGAACTTCAGGTACATTATGCCATGCTGCTTTAAATATATAATGAAAAACATTTTCTTCCATGCCATATGTTAAACCAGTAGCAACAACATATGTTAATAGTTTCTTTTTATTGGTTAAACCAAGTTTTGTAATTAATTTTTCAGCACTATGACGTTCTTTAAAATTTGGATGAGCTCGACGGCGACGAAATTCATCTTCAGAATACGGTACTTCATCCTATTTAAGAAATAAATTATTTAAAAAAAACAAAAGAAATTAATTTACTTCATTTGCTGGTGTTTTTGCCCATGTCATAACCGATGAAAGAAGAATAAATGTTATTTGATGATCAAGTTCATTTATAAGTGATTCTAATTTTTGACAAGCCCATACAGCTTCATCGACCTAAACAAGAATACAATCTGACGTAAACAGTTTTGAGGAATAGAATTTTTATATCATACTTGTTCTGGGTCTTGAGTTATATCATAAATGATAACGTTCATTTCTTTTAAATATTCAGTTAATTGATTACGATCTTTGTACTAAATAGGAAAGCGAAAATAGAAAGATTATTGCAAATAAAATTTCTTTCTATACTTGAATAATTTCTTGCATAAATGGTGCTCGTTTGTAACCTTGAGTATTTTTAATTGTTCCTGATACTTTCCAACCATTTTCAATGGGATTTTCATCATATAGCTGTTTTTGCCTTTGATCACCATTTTCTTCTTCAGCAGCTTCTTCTTCTTCTCCTCCAGTATCACCTGTTGAACCTGGTTTTACTCGTGCAAAAATCTTTAAAATATGTTAATTATTTATCTTTCAAAAAGATAAATTCAAAATACATACTCGAGCAATATTTTTTCCATGATATGTATCAACATGATTAATAAAAATCTTCTTTGGTTTTTCAGGTACAGGTTCTTCTTTTACTTGCTCTTCGCCTACTTGTTCCTCATCTGAATCGTCAGCCATTGTTGGATGTGAATGCAAAATGAAAATGTTTTACACAAAAAACAACCATTTCATACTTTGGTATCCACGACACATCCTTCGCTAATGTCAAGCAATTTTATCAACCCATAGATGTCGTTAACATGATTTTTATTTCATTTAAAAAAGGTAAATCCGCTATTCTTACATATAAGAGACATTACATAACAGTTTGAATTCTTATGAAACAAGTTCAAGCGCATTGACAGTTAAAGCGTTGTCAAGAATTTGAATATATGGATTAGTGGCGTAACTAGGGTAGGCGCCGCCTACGCACCGGACCTGTGCGCCCACAATTTTTGAGAAAGTGACTTTTCTATATATATTATATAGTATTTGGGAAATCGGTAGGGCAGCGTCTATCCACCCGTCAATTTCTGGTTACGCAACTAATATTGATAGAAGAAAGTAATTCAAAATTCTTGTATTATAAGAACTTTTCAGTTTGTTTTCTTATTCCCTATGGTTTCCTAAATAACAAAACAGCTGACTATATTTACATAAAAAAAAGTTTAATTATATGATAATCTTGCTATTGATTGAGCTAATTTAAGAAGTATACCATTAATATTTACATACCATATCGAGTTTTTCTCAAATATATGCTTTATTTTTAATAAAAGTATGAAGTACAGTCACAATCGATACTTTATACTAACAAAGGTAATTTCAATAATGAGATTCTTGTGTTTGCCGTTAGAAAAAAAAGTAAAATTATCTGATGAAAATTTCACACTATTTTCTTTATATAAAGAAATTATTGAAAAAAAAATAGACGAATATTTTCTTTTGCTTAAACAAAAATATATTAAAAATTAAATATATATATGTACATACATAAATAAATAAATTTTTCAGAAAAAGAAAATAACTAATTGCTTTTCTTTTTTACTTTTCACAAAAGAGATGTTTAAAAAAGAACATTTTTGATAATTTATTTTAAAAAAAAATAAAAGAATTATTGCAACGTTCGTGCATATTCACTTAAGGCTTGATAAAGAAATTGATATTGATCATGAGTTTGAATCATTCCACCACGATCACGTCGTAGATTGCAAATTATTCGAACAATATCAACAACACGTTCTTGATTTAATTGTTTTATACCATTACTTAATGCAATAAAACAACCAGTACGACCAATTCCAGCACTGCAATCATAAATAAATATCTTATAAGAATACAGGCTATTTCAAGTAGAGTCTGTTAAATCATATTGAATGCTTCGATTTATTGAGAATCCTTGCTAGTCATTTGGAATTAGTATAAAATGCTTATTCAGAGTTTTATCTAGTGGGTAGGCGCTGCCCATCTGAAATTCCGATTCGCCCACTCAAAATAAAAGAAACCTGGGTAAAAAAATTGGACGTATTTGACATATCTTAACGGGATTTCATGAAATATACACGTAGTTTACTAATGACTAGTTTTTATAAGTCTGAAAAAGATGTTTAACTAGTCTTAAACAGATAATAAATTATCAACTGTCGTGAACACATCGTTATATTAATGAGAAAAGTAGCGTAACTTCTTTTAACTCGTACTCATTGATCTGTGATGATTATTCTCGTATTTGTTCGATCATATAATTCGAATATAGTATGTTTCATGTTTACAATCAAGTAAATATGATAGTAAATCTATGTACCTGCAATGAACTACAACAGGACCAGATTTATTATTAATTTTA